GAAAAATGAAAAAAAAAAAAAAAAAAAAAGGCTTTACTAATTAGATAACTATGAAGTGCACATACCTCTGATCTCCTTCTGAAAAACGTTAATGCCTCTTTCTGTAAATACAAATTCTCACATTCAGGCTTTAAACTAAAGTATTTCTAAAAGTTTTAAGATGTTAGTATTAGAAAAAAAAATTTCAGGAAGCAATAAGCAGAACTGAATTTTATGAAAATGTAAGAACTTTGAAGGAAATAAGTAAGTCGATATCTCTCCTGGTATCTCTGAATATTCAATTTATAATTAGTAAACGATAATTAAAAACTGTTTTCCGAAGATAGTTAAAAGAACAGTTTCGAAGACAATTGGATATTGTTTTTAAAAATGTCGATTTTACATAGAAGAAGTCTCAGAGGAACTACATGTTGCAGCTCATGTTTCAAACATCAGTGAGGGAAGTTATGAAGATTCATTTTTGTAATATGTGTGAAACGATACTATTGAGATAAAGTGAATAAAATTTTACTGCAATATTCTGAAAAATATTAGAATTGCACAAACGGACAGTGAAAGATAGTGACAAAAAAAGGTGATAATATGCTATCACTAATCGAATCTAAAAGACGCTGATCAGTAAAGCTACCAGAGTTTTATGATATTGAGAGCACAGCTGAAAAACTGTTAATGAATAGAAAAAAATACGGAAAAACAGTATTGTTTCTAAAATTTCATTAAGTACATAATTATAAAAATACTTTTATAAAAAATTAAAAAATAAATTTCAAGTTACGTAAAACATTTAATTTTAATTATTATCTTAGAATACATTTTTTAATTAGTTGTTTCTTATTATTTTACTAGATAAGTTTAAAACTGATATCATAATTTGCAATACACAAAGTTTCCGTTTATTAAACTCAGCCACTTGATAAACTCAAATACCTTTGGAACAGAAGTGATTTCAATAAGTGGCGGACATTGTATTAACTTAGTAAATGGGTTTTTATGATGAATAATGTCTAGTCGTTAATTTAAAAAACACGAATTACATATTTTTATTATTTTCCAGAAAAGATTATTATCATCTCCCTCATCTATATCAGATTATTATCATTTATATCTTATTCTACATCAGTTTTGTTGAAACTTACTTAGATTAAGTTTCAATGTCATTCTTATTCGCACTGATTTTTACACTGATTTTTTTTTTTTTTTTTTTTTTTTTTTTTTTTTTTTTTTTGTTTGGTAACAATCTTATATGTTTATACATTCAATCAAACCTTCAGGCTCCTTTCTAGCTTTCTCCGTTTTCGATTGCCTTTTGTTGCAATGTTGAATAAATTTGAATGTAAGGTTAAAATATAACACATTGTTGTTTTGACATTGGTGATCTCATTTCTCAATCTTATTTACTAAAACAAGTTTTCATTACTGAATATTTCGAAACTCCATCATAATCGCGATCAAGAAAACAACTCATTAAAACATGACAACCAAACAGAACCTGTCATCAATGCCCCAGTTTTGCGCCAAGTCATCATAGAAAATTATATTCATCTTCCCACTTCTGTGGTATTTCATCATCCGTTTTTGCGTAAGATCTCGATTCTTCCTTGCAAATGAAATGCTACACGATTAATATTCATTTTCTTAACCCTGGGTGGGAATGGAGAAGTATAATCGACCAGGGTCAGAATTCAGGGGCACCATATTCTGGAAGGTAAAGTGAAGAAACAACAGATTGAACAACTTATTTTGACCTTCTAGCGACTATAGTTGGGTCTGTATTTCAGCGGTGGTTATATGTGAGCAAGAAAGGACTTATTGCAAAAGTCATGTTACCTAAGATAAGTAACAAGGATAGATGTTTCCGTGTTTTGATACAGTAACCTTAAGTTGATGACCTTCGTGAATTAATCCAGAGGTGAGGAGGCTGAACTTTGTATCACGAGTTATTTAGCATAAAGAAGTTCAAGTAAATAATGTGCCCACTCTCGCTCAACATGAGCTTAAGAATGCAAGTACTTGATATTTGTGACTAGAGTAGTAACCGGATGTGCTGGATTTCAGTGCGATGTCCCGCTTTAGGATTTGTCCTAAAAATGCCCCAGTTTCACTAAAATTCCCTTTATTTTTGCAGTTATCCCACATACAGCTTTCCTAGGGGTCATTTTAACGTAGTCATAAATATACTGCTTGGAATCAGAATATGAATATATTCATCAGCAACATCCTCACAATTCTTAGATATACGTTTCAAGAAAATTCGTGTGGTATTTGAAAAGAAGGGTTTCTGAAAGAATTTTAAATTTTTTCCCAGTCTATCGTACTTTCATAAATAAACAGCAGAATTTTAAGTGGGTCACTTTAAAAAAATATTGTAGAATAAAGTGTACAGAAAAGCTTAATTTCAGAAAATATAGTTAACCGAGGTAGAGTTATCTGATAATATAAACTATTGAATGAAATATTGCATTGATAACAGCAATAGCGAAACTACAAAAAAAAAAAAAAAAAAAAAATGAAAGCAGCAGCATAGCAGTATACTTTTAGAATTCCCGATGTATCGTTAAGTGTTGGTGCACTTTTTTCTCTTTTGTTTCAGTCTTTTTCTCAGTTCATCATATCAATGTTCACTTTTGTTACTTAATGGCTTTACAAAATTTTGTTTTTTGTCTTTTTATTATTAACGTTTTGTGTGTTTACTTCATTTATTAAATTAATAAATTTATTCACTTTATTTATTAAATAAAGTAACGTTCTTGGCGCTTACGCCGCATAAAATATGATTAAACACCAAAATCCCAAAATATGTAAGAAGAGGCATGTCTTTGTAATTTCCAGTTGACAGACTCGGTGTGCTGTTTGCTTTGAAATCCTTGAGTTTGTTAATCAAAATTTCGTTAAAGTTTTACAAAATATGACATAGATAATAAAACAAATTCGAAATTCAAAATTTGGGCTTCTTCTTCCATTATCTGGTAGAGGACTAGGTTATTCAAAATTGGATGTCTCTAGGTACCGTTGCTTTTTCACAATGCCAGAAACATACATACATTCTTGCAGATTCTTCATTATTTAATTTCTCTAAATATAACACAGGAAGATAATATTTGGTGACAACAATTTGAAAAATGATACAACGTATTTAAAGTGTTTCGAAGGAAAATGCCGCTTCGAGACTAGTATCCCATTCGGGAGTACCATCCCTTGTGGGGTAAAAACTGGCTTTTTTAAAAAAGGAGCATGTCTGTCTTAATTTACATTTTTATCTTAATTTACAAGCGTCTAGTACTTAAAAACTAAACATGTTATATATTTTTGGAATCAGAAAAGTTAATTCTGTCTTTTAAAATTAAATTCAAAAAATATATTTTTTTAAGCCAAAAAGGAGGTTTTATTTTCCTTAACCAAAAATGATCCAAAATGAAATCCCCAATAAGGAAATAAATTCATTTATAGGAAGCGCATTGATTGCTTTTAAATCGCCCAGTTCGACAAGCAACTTACAGACTGATTGAAACACAAGTTAAAGATTAATTCTGAGAACTGGCTATTCGCGAGAAAGATAATTTAAAGGTATCATGTTTCATGCTTTGGCAATACCTACCAGCTTGCATGGGAAAGAAATACATGGTAACATAATTAACCGTAACATAACGACTTAAAAGATATAAGCCATGTCTTTCATGCAAAGCCTTGTAAATGTACTTTAATGTAAAGCCAAACGAGGGATAGCGGTGATATTCAAAATCGGTGGTCATCTGTGTAACACAAAGAAGTAAATCATACAAATAATAATAATAAAAACAAAAATTTTAAAAAAGTCTGAAAGCTTTCAGATTTTATATTACGCCCAAAGGTTTTTTTTTTTTTAAACGTTTTGTGTGTTACCTTTATTTATTAAATATCATATTCTTCGGTCTTAAACCATAGAATTCAGTTCAACAGCAATATCCCAAAATAGTTTTAAAATGAGCATATCTTTAGAATTTCCGACACAGTCTCACGCGCTGGAAATAAAAATGTTTTTTTTTTTTTTTTTTTTTTTTTTTTTTCTGTACAACGTTGCCATTCTCGCTTTGAAATCCTTGAGCTTGTTAATCAGAAATTCGTTAAAGTTTTACAAAATATGAAATTAATAGTAAAACAAATTCCAAATTTCAAATTTGGGCTTCCACATGCCATATTCGGTGGAGGATTGCGTTATTCAAAATTGGATGACTCTAGGTACCGTTGTTTTATCACAATGCGAGAAACATACATACATTTATACTGATTCTTCAATATTAATTTCTTTAAACAGGGTTCTAATATTTCGTGGCAACAATTTAAAAAGTGAACTGACATTTATAGTGAATCAACGCAAAATACCAAAACGAAATTAATAGTTCTTCTGAGCAAATTGCCCCTTTGGACGAATAAAGATTTTATGCTTTGCTAAATGACAACGCTTTGAGTACTAGCATTTGCGAAGCCGCATGAAAAATGAACCAAAGTTCTTGTTTCACGTAATTGCAACAGATGTCAAGTCGTGCGAATGATCAGTAAATATTAATTAATGCAGTATTATGATAACGTAATAATAAAGAAATTACAAAATTCTGCCTTGGTACCTATTTTACGTTCAAAAAGGAAGAAGAACGAAAAAAAGGGGGAGAATATGTAAAAGAATAATCTGTGCAAATACCTCCTCCACATGTCAGCCAGAAGTTAGTCAGTTAGAAAAAACGATTTCATTTATGTTACCCGCGTAATATATTGTTTGTGATTGTTTACCAAATGTGGAAAGAAATCTTGTGTTTGTAAACATCTACAAAGATTTAAAAAAAAAAAAGTCGTAACAGAAGCATTCCCCCCCCCCTCCAGTACGGCAACCGTTGAACTAGAAATGCAGGCCTTTTTGCTAAATGTAGACACAACAAAAGACAATAATTTACTCTTAAAATAAAATAGAAAATGTGCCTTAGAGCGAAGAAATAAAACAGATAAAACACAAAAATGGTTTAGCTCACCAGTACGTATTCGACAGGTTAATTTGGTGGTTCCTTCAGGTCAGCCTATTCCCGGCGTTCGGTAGAAGGGGAAAAAGAAAAGAATTCGGAACTTTTTTTCGTCAGCAAACCGTTTAGTTTTTTATTTTTAGGTGATTCTTTTTTGATTTTTTATATTTACGATCTGAGGAAATGTAGAAAGGAACCAAGCTGACCTTGAAGAAACGGGTTTTAAGAATATGTTTCCAACTTGTTGGCTGATTATTGTTATTATTATTTCTCATAAAGTTGTGAAAATTTTTAGATTTTAGACGATTTTTAAAAATTTGTTTGAACCATGTAGCTTAGATACGAGATTATGAATCAATACAATGTATAGCATAACTCCGAAATCAAACGATTGTGCCTTGAAGCATGTGATTACACGACTGTAGATGCATAGAAGATAATGAAAATGAAACCCTACATGGATACAAACCGAATTTCAAATCAGCATATGCTTTTCTAGTTGGAAACTCTAAATGATTGCAGATTTATCAAGTAAAGTTTGGATACGAGAGGTACTGGCTTCAGACATTGGCTGCATAAGATATAAATGATATGTCGGAATTTTAAAAAGGGCAAATTGTTGGTATTCGTTTCGCTGATGTATCTGTTATCAAGACAGCAAGTTTTAGGGGACATGGTATTCAGGATCACGTTTTGTGCATCTAATACCTGCCTCAAGAGTTCTTGTCAAAGTTTTGACATGCTCAGTAAAGTGGTTTTATCAGTTGCCTTTGTTTGGATTTACTCCTGATGTATTTACGCGATTAGAATCAATAAATGCATCATAACTGCACGTGCGAAAGAATTTAAAAACACTGCAACTTCAATTCCTTCAATGTGATAAGGAATATCCATAATAATAATAAAGTAAGAGCCAATAATTTAATTTGTCAAAATTTTTCGAGTAATGAAATCAGTACCCTCTCTTCCAGGTATTAAATTTCAAATCGAGAAAAAATTGGGAAAATATCATGAATGTGAGAAATATATAGTTTGAATAATCCCTAATCATCATAAAACATTTACAAATCCAACCTTAATTTATAAAATTTTGAAATGGTGCGAAGGTCACCTTTTGCATGAAACTGTGGGCAACATAAAATGATTAGGACTTTGTTTCTGGAATTTTTATGCTGGAACACAGGACTCATTTAGCTGACGAATCAGTAGATCGTTTGTGTGTCACGAAAAGCTACTGGCTGTAATAAAACAAATACTATTATAAATTTAAAAGCTTAAATAATAAATAAAAAAACAAATATAATAGTCGCGTTTTTGTTAAAAGGCACCTTTTTTTTAACTAAACTTCTTCTTTCTCCCGTATTACGGGCATTTTAAAGCACAGTCTCGGATTTTAAGTAATAAATAATTATTAATTCCAACATTCCCGAAGCTCAAAAAAGCGAAAAATTTGAGGAAATGGAGTCACTGTTTTGCATGCGCATCGTATAAGCGAAAATTGAAAGAAAAGGTGAGATTATGTGACGTCGTACAGTTTGAAAATGAGAACTAATTGTATGATTTATAATGGAAATGACTGCTTATTTAAATACATTGAGAATACTTTTGAAAGCGAAAAGTAACTCATAAATGCAATTGGAAACATTTGAAATCAAACTGAAATTATGGTATTATGATAATAAGAACAAGAACTCAATTCTCTGTGGAACTCTATCTGACCAAAGTCAAGGAGACAGAAAAATAAATAAATAAAAATACGGCATTTGTTGCCATTTTATCAGAAATTTTAGAGAATCGATTTAATATATCAACTATGTATTTAACAATAAAGTTACCTGCCAACTTACAGATGGAAAGTGCAATCGGTGCTACAGTATAAAAGAAACTGATTTTTAAGTAAGCTTTACGTAATTTGCAGAATGCTTTCCAGCATTTAGTGAACATTTCCTGTACATAATATCTTTTATGGCAAGTATCTATACTTGCAAACAATTTCTTTCCCTTACACGAAGCATGTAGACTTCAGACAATAGTCTAACACTTAAAAGGAGAGTTCACTGCTAAAAATTTCAAAAATAATTAAATAAATAAAATAAAATATATTAAAAGCCTTAAAATATCCTAAAAAATTAAAAATCAAATAATCTATACTAGTTATATAGCGTATAGTGTGTGTTAGAAACATCTTTTATGACTTACCCAAAACCTGCAAATGTTCATAAAAATCATCAATCGGCTGTATTATAAATTAAATGTATATTAATTATTGCCGATTGGATATATGAATAACAACTTATTAAAAATTACTGTGATTACTTTTAAACTACTCGATTTATTAATCCTAAAAGACTAAATAAATTCGAGAATACAGGTGGAGATCTTATGCTTCGACGAATGGCAGGATTTTGAGAATCTTCTATGCGCGAGGGCGACTGAATTAGGTTTTATAACACCCCCCTACTTCTAGATTCTTTCAGTTTTCTTCGTCCGTCATTTTCTCAGGCATGATCACGCCTACAGGTTTTATTTTAGAAGGATAGGGTTTTATAAAGTGAATGAAAATAATACGTTTCCTTCCAAGTGCAAAAAGGCCCACCAGCGGCCGAGCGGTAAAGTCACTGAACACTGGTAGTTCGGTCCGAGGTTCGAATCCCGCGAACGGGCTGGCTGCATTGGCGTTTTCGTGGTTTTCCCCATGTGTAACGTGTATACGAGCCAGTTTCCCTTAGAAAGTCCTCCACGAAGGCATCCCTCCCTTTAGGCAGATAGCCCTCGTGTGCTTTGCCATAATTAAATACACCACACCAAGTGCAAAAATGTCAGTAAAATTTCTTAAATTTCTCATTCGCTTTGATGTCTATGAAAATAAGCAACAATTCAATAGTATTAAGAAAACTGGATCAATGTTCAATTAAAAACGCCATGTTTAAATATATTTCTTAATAAATATAATTTGGTTTGCAAATCAAATGTAATTTCACCCAAAGCCATAACAATATGTTGGTTATATTGTGGCCGTTAATAGCTATTTTCTATATGTTGCCCTTGGTATATTTTTGTTGAGTAGCGGGCATTTCGGCAAAATTTTATGGGGTCAACACGGCCCAAGAAGTTCATAAAGTGGGGCACCCACAGTCTGTACCAAATTAGCAATCAATAGTTCTTTTAACAATTTTATATTATCTTCACTGACGGCCGTTCAAAATGCAAAATTTTGATTATTGTCAAAGAAGGCGAATTTCAAGTTGGCAACGGAGGCGGATTGGCATTTTTTTTTTTTTTTTTTTTTTATGAAATGAGACCTCGGGGTGTACTCCAACTGCGCGAATGAAATACCCCCGGGTCCTGCTATAGTCTAACTGCGCGAATCAAAATTTCTTTCCCTTGTTACCTATAGGGTTACAATTTAACTTTTCGAAGGCAATTGTAGCCAAGAGGAAAATAAAAATAAAGAAATAAAATTACATATCACAAGAACAAGTAAAAAATATCTAACAAGCAGGCTAATTACTTGAATAACAGTAATAAATGCGAGAGCTAACAAAGAAAATGAAAGGTATTAAACGTCAAACAACAAATATCAGCGTTATATTTTCAAATTTGCTGTGAAATTTGAAAATGTAACGCTGATTTCTGTTGTTCGACTTCTAAATTAATATTTGTTCGGCATGTTATTGTACCTTAAAATAAAAGGTATTGGTAAACATACATATTAGCATTACAAACATCTCTCATTCATTATAATAATATCATAAATTAAATAATTGTAAAGCATACCAATTATATTTTTATAAATTACATCAATAATAGTCAAGATGTCTGAACTAGACTGGAAAATTTAATAGAGTTCACTAGCGTTCAAAAGATTATTCCATATCAAAGTGTGATAAAGTGTGCTAAAAATATTTTTTGTTAGTTAAAGTAATCATGTAAATGTTTACAGAAATTAATAGTTAAATTTAAAAAAAGCTTAGCATGAAATCTATTATAACAACATTACTATGCGTTTGGAACACTGACGTATAAATTGTAAATAAATTAAAATTATTATGCTAAGAAGTTTCTTTTCTAAAATTTATCTAGAAGAAAAGAATTAGATAAACAGTACTGCAAATTAATATAATCAATAACGCCTCTCAAAGTTTATTTTTTTAAACAAAAATTAAAAATTGGGATGCAAAAGTTTGTGTAGTATACTTGGAAATATCTGAACATATAATTAATTAGAAACGTATAATTAAATTAATAACAAGCTAATTAACAGTAACATTAAGCTTAATTTCATTCAATCTAAAACAAGCAATCGGTCAGGAGCTCCGCATAACTGAAGTTTTACTTCTATTTTACGTAGGTTTGCGTATAAAATAAATATTTGCACTTGTGAAACAAGTGAACAATGCACTGATAATCAACAGGAATTAAAATACAGTTGTTTAAAATATAACTGCTTGTCAGAAGGTATGCAAAGTTGACGTGGCTACAGAAATTGAATGATTATAGAAAACTCATAAAGTTAAGCGCTACAGTGTGAAAAGAAAATTCCGGAATAAACATGTTAAGAAAATTAGATGGAGAAATAATCTTTAATTTATTGATATCCATATAAACTCTACGCTTTTGGAAAAGGTTACATATAATTTGAACCGAGATATCAATTATCAAATCCGAGTTAATTTCTTTCTTTATTTTTCTTATTAGAGGGATTTGTAAAAAAATATGCTAAGGTAATGGTGAAAATTTTTGCAATATTTTTAAAGAATAAATTTAAAAAATACTTTTACTTCATGAACTGAAATTTTTACGATGCATTTTTAGACAGTAAATAAGTACAAAAAAAAAAAAAAAAAAAAAAAGCTGGGAGATTTCTGGAATTAGAAACTCGGGTCGAACTACTAATGTTTAGTGACTTTTCCGCTTGATCATAAGACCTTTTGAAATTATATATTAAGGAAAATAGAAGAAACAGCACAGATAAGAACAAAAGTGGGCTGAAACTAGAAATTTACATGTTTGGTGAATGAGTTAAACTTATCTGTATGCCATTATGAAATATTAGGAATGTAGCATAAA